GTTTAATACAAAAGTTAAATATTTCGCGTTTTAAACCGTTGAAGTGATTTAAATGTGTACTACTCGCGTGAACTTGACGTTTACATAATACGGTCGAAATTACATTGCGCCACCGGTTACTAGACAAGATAAAATCTTCGATAGAAATAGCATAGCCAGTTTGTCAGGACAACGAGGTGGGGTGCTCTTAGGTTCGAATCCCTGTATTGTTTTTTTTAACTCTATCTACTCTGTGATTTTATCAGTATTGGGTAAACTAAAAAGGCAAATACAGGTTGCTGTTATATTTTCTCTTTCGAAACATTTTATCTCATAATCAGATTATACGAAGTTCTGAGCGCCTACATTTATTTCTTGAGCCCATATCAAGGGATATTCAGACAACGATCTTTTGTTTATTGGAAAACCCTTTTATTTATATAGCTATTATTTCTGTTAGTCTTAGTCGGGATTTCAAAAGATAGCTCCAAAGAAACAGTAAAAATGTATTTTTAACCGTGGTCACGGGGAGACTGTCTCCCCTGTCATTTTCAAATAAGTTTAACTAATATATCGCGTTTTAAACCGTTAAAGTGTTTTATTTAAATAAGTAAGCTAGTTAACAAAATGGTTGTTTGAAAATGTCTTATAATCAACGGGTAGTGGGTCCAACATATTTCTAATTAATTTATAGCTTTTCTGAAACATGACTTTATCTGGAAATCTGGATATCAAATGGGCGGCAGGAATATCGAAATTCGATTCACAAACCACCGTCCACAGATGGTAAGCCGTGAAATTTAATCGTTTTTCGGGTTCAGTCTGTGAATTTCCGAATACCCAAAGCAAAAAAAAGGTAGACAGCACATCTTTTAGATGTTATATGACTGGGGTATTTCACTTCCCGTCAAGCGAGTGCTTGTCTGTAGTTGGCCTATTCTTTGTATATATTAACTATGTATTTACTTTATAAAATAGCTTTTATTAATACTAATAAATAAATTACTAGATATATTAATTCAACAATTTTCAATTTGTTAATACACATTTTATTTTCCAATAAATCGATTTCAGATTTGAATCTTGGAAGTGAATAATACAAAAGGGCTGGTTACTTTGAGATGCCTAATTAAAGTCTAACTTTTGTAAATGTATTAAATATTTTCAGAAGTAAACTTTCGAGGTTCTTAAAAAGTGATTTACGACTTATAAAGAAGGTAAGTAGTAATATTAAATAAAACACATTGAAGATTTTTTACGTTAATTATTGTTAACTTAGATTTATTTAAGACCCTACTTTGTGAACCGTTAATTGTGTTTTATTTAATTTATACTAGTAAAGGACATCGCTAATAAAAGACTAGCTTCAATCGTCCGTTAAGAATATTTATTTTGGGCATCCAAATTCGTTATTGCAGACCCACGGCGTCGGTCGCGTCCCTTCCCGTCGTTCTTACAAGTCAATCTTCTTCTTTTTATAAATTTAATCGCAGACTTTTTTTTTGATAGTTTAAAGACGAATCATTCTTTAATACATATTTTTTGGGTACGCCCGAGTAACCCACAATGATGAAAATATTTCAATTTTTTCTTTCACATTTCCCGCTGTATTTTCGATTGTATTAATCACAGGGCGGTGTTATAGTCTCTCGATTAATGCTCTGACCAACACAAAAATATTTTTTCACTTCAAACACCTAGTGCCTGAGATTAGCGCGTTCAAACAAACAAACTCTTCAGCTTTATATATTAGTATAGATATAATGATACATCTTCTTGGTTATTCACCAAGTCCCATAAAATCACCGCCACCACGTACATCTTTTACGGCGAAACGTAGCTACTTTATGAAAAATGTATTCCATTATATTGAATTTTACAGCTTCCCTCGTCGTTCTGATCTCATAAACTGTTGTGGGTGAAAATAATAGGCAACCATTGGGACAAAAATGGCTATTTATATGAAAACTTGGACTACGTTAGATGATAATGCGAGGTGTATTTGAAAATTATTCTAAATGGACTCTCTATTGGCTATGAATATGGAGAAAAGAAACGATAAAAGCTGAACTTCTCTCGCAAACTGTTTTCAAATATGATAAACAATAAAAGTTTTTAGCGATGTTAAACTTGAAGTTAAACGTAACTTAATTTTATATACATTTTCAAAAATGTGTCTCCCCCCCCATGGGGCATGGAAAATAGCATTTCTATGTCCGTTTCAATATTATTTAATTCACAACTTTGCGAGTAGTACACATTAATAAAGCACACTTTTTGAAACAGATCTTTTGGTGACTTTTTGAACTTTACAGTGAAACAGATGACGCTAACATACCAGTTTTGACATTGACATTAGATACAACTTGCAAAGCATCAGAAAAGTTATCTAATTAAAACGCTTTGAACGGTTTAAAACGTGAAATATATTGGCCAATTTATTTTAAATACCATTGACATTTGGGTGTTTGGCAGTTATATTCTTTGTGTTTAAACCGTTAGAAAATTTTTATTTAATATATTCAACTCGCGGAAACTACAGACAATATTGGAACATTATTTCTGCCGTCAAATGGAGAATTTAATGTCAAATTCGAATATTTAAGATGTATATGAATAAATAAGGCCGTTAGGGGCATGATGGCCGAACTGCAATTTTATCTATTATATTTATTTTCAGTTGACTTATTTATAGTCCAAACATGTTAATCTACAAGACGTTAATATACAATTTTACTTTGACGTCAGAGACACGTCTTTAGTCTCCCCGTGACAAAGTAGTTAAAATTATTCTCAAATAAGTTTAACTAATATGTATCGCGTTTTAACCAGTTCAAGTATTTTAATTAAATCGCGTAAACTGCAGACAGTATTTAATTGCGTATTTTGATGTTCCTATCCTTATTGAAAACATGTTTTTTGTTATTAGGCCACTTTGACTCTAGCATCCATTGTGTTATTTAATAGATAGCCTATCCGAAGCGAAGCACATAAAACTCCGGTGTTCCCTTACGATTTCATTGTACTTAAACGAGAGTAAGCGTACTTTTCCTGATTTCATGTAGGGAAATTAGCATAGGAAACCAATAAAATGGATGATTGCGCACAAAATCAAAGAAAGCGTAACATATTCAATATAAGCCACTATTTGTCTTCCTCAGAAAGCTTCAACCCTTTTTCTAACCGAGATTACTTTTGGGGGATGTATTTGTTCGCCCCCGAAATAAGGTATTTTCATATTCATGCATTCATTCTTATTTATATTCATATAAATTGTTGAATTTCGTCGCGCAAACTATTACGTTTAACTCGAACGGTTTAATAAAAGTAATGTAATACTTTTATAACTTGTTTACAAGTTTCCCTTAATATATATAAAAAAATGTTAAATACTGTCTGTATTTATTATATATAAAACACATTTTACGGCTTAAAACGCGATATATTAGTTAAACTTATTTGAATATGATTTTTAAATTCAGCCCGATTTTTCAAATGCTTTGCAGCAGCCGTGGTCACGGGGTTGGGTCGAAGTTAAAAATCATTTTCAAATAAGTTTGATTAATATATCGCGTTTTAAACCCTAAAGGTGTTTTATTTAAATGTGTACTACTCGCGTAAAGTATAGACAGTATTCACTTTATGATCGTTTGTCTCTATGTTATAGTGTTATAAAAAACTTTTATATAATTTGATAATTTCTCTTCAAATAAATTTAACGTCATCCAGTAAGCATCTAATGCAGGTTCGACTTAAGTAAAACTATCATGAACAAATACAAAAACACCAAGTTCCGAGTACGCTAGACTGCACTTTTTAAAACGTTCGTATAATTTTCTCTTCGCTTTTTACTTGCATATAAAAGTTTCAACCAGAAAATTGCTGACTGTCTTTCCTGTAGGGTATAACGTACCTTCGCTGTGACCTTTACATTTTTCAAAGAAGACTAGAATTTATGTGGCTGTTTATAAAAAAGTAAAATACCGACTAACAATAATGTACCTACTTTGGATTATAAGCCATTCCAAAAAAAAATATAACTAGTAGGACAATAGTAGGTAGTAGTAGGTAGGTAGGTACTCGGTAGCTCAACTGGTTAGAGCAACAGTACGGAACGCTGATGATGCCGGTTCAAGTCGTGACCGAGTCCTACATTTTTTCAATTTTTAATGTATATAAAATTAAATAGACTTTTCAACTGTGATAATTCCCTTTGTCGGTCCAAACAAAGCTATTGCCGTAATCCGAACCCAGAATTAACTGCAAATGTTTACGTACCACTATAAACAAAATAGATTGTAATTTATTAAATCTGTCAAATCTATAATATTCTATAATCTATATGTATAAGAGGTTAAAAAGGGGATGAAAGTTTGGATAGAAATTCGTTGTTTTTGAAGTTAGAACAATAAAACTTTCTTCTTTGGCTTTTTGGGAATAGAAGTGGGAGTGGGAGTGGGAGTGGGAGTGGGAGTGGGAGTGGGTGTAGGGCTGAGGGTGGGGGTGGGCGTTAGGGGTCAGAGTCAGAGTGGGAGTGAGTGTAGGAATGAGAGTGGGAGTTAGAGTAGCAGTGATGTGAGGTGAGAGTGTTGCAGCAAAGTAGCACTTACAACATAGATTGGCTGCCTTAAATGCGCCCTTATATAAATTAATAAACAGCCTAAATAATTAAAAATTCTACCCCAAGTCACTACTCCACGCGGACAGTCGTAGAAAACATTAAAAGAACGCATAATACTCACAATTTTAATTTTATATTAAATTTTATATCATTACAAAGAGTCTATTCACGTAAAAATTACTTACAGTTATGCTGATATTAACATTTGACATTCATAATATTTAAAAGATGTTAGACATCACACTTTAATTACACACTATTTACAATAATTACAATTTACAATTCGCCCTTAAAATATTGTGGAAAAGTAAATTCGAGATATTTGATATAGTTCTTAATAAATTAGGTTTAGAACAATACGAAGGAAGTCACAGCCAGTAAAACATACACGAAAATATAATTATTTGTTTACATGCTCGAGCATTTCTGGTAGCACGTTGTAAGCCACCATGTCACCGAAGCCGATTTTGGGTTCCTTCTTCGTTACTATAGCAACGATCTCTTCCTCTGGCGGGGGAGGGGGGAACTCCACGTTAGAATCTACGGCTAATGATACATCTTCTACACTAAGAACTACTTCTCTATTGTCAATCTCTATCCTACGCTCTATAGAACTATCCTCCATTATACTATACAAGTTTTCCGATCTCCCCTTATTGAACATATGTCAGGAGCTCATATAAAATGGATCAGTGACGTTAACTTCATCGTTGACCGTGTTCCCCTTCTGCGACCACTCTTTCTGCTGGTGTTTTATCCTATAAATAATCTCGTCGTGGATAACTCCAAAGCACATAGCTGTCAAGGCTAGGCCAGTCAATGTATACACAGAACAAAACCATAGAACGGTCGAATTTATTGTATAATATCTGACACCGTTAATAGTGGTGTAGCTGGTCCCCGGGATGATGTTACCGAATCCTATTGTACTGAGCGCCATGAAGCAGAAATAAAAGCCATCTATCAAACTCATGTCATCCAATTGAAATAAGACGATCGCACCCAAAGAGATGTAAACGAAAATAGCTGCTAAACATAACAGCACAGGAGCTAGTATGCTTAAGCCGTGCATGGACAGTTTAGAATCAGTGTCAGGCCAGCTGATCACATCGTCTTTAGCTGTACTCGTTGTAGGTCTATCAGAGTTCGAAGAATCCTTCTGACTGTCTGTTTTTAGTACATAGCACTCCTCCGTTTTGCTGGAGTTTTGGCTGTTGAGTAGTTCTTCCTGTTGTCTCTTGAGTTTCATTCGTCGTTCTTTTTCCGCCATTCGCCGCTCGTCGTAACAGCAGTAACCGCAGTTTGAGCAGAGACAACAGCATAGTGCTCTGCTGAAAACACTGCGAGCCATTTTGGAGAGTAAAGAGCCGACGCTCGAAAGGTATACAAGCGTCAAAGGGATTCCAATTAGCGCGTATAGAATTGTGATTCCCTTGCCCAACATCGTTCTCGGAGCTATGTTTCCGTACCCTGTAAAGAGATTACATTTGTTACACTAGATACGAGTACTGTACAGTCATAGTGCGACATCCTGTTTTCAATACGTGAAATGGGTGGGCAGATTCTAAGTTTAGTTGGATTTTATTTACAGACTAAAGTTGATAAAATTTGTGTCCTCTCTAGTCTAAGCTAAGTATTTCTATGGATTCGAACCCAGGACCTTATATCACCGTGGTCTTAACGTCTCGGCATATAACGGGTTATCAAAATATACAAATTGTATAGCTTTAGTATATATGTTTAAACAATTCTAATGTATTACGGATTAATATTATTTAAAAAGTTTACTCACCGATAGTAGTTAATACAGTCAACGAGTAGAAAAAAGCCAGGGCCAAGTTCCAGTCGTGTTCTTCGTAATGGTTGTTTACATCACCCTCGCCAAATTCGCCTAAAGCCAACTCTTTATAGCTCACGCCGTACTGCGAGGCCATTTCGGCTGTGACCCTTTGTAGCAACTCGTTCTGGAATTTTAAAATTTCAGCCGACGCCAAACGCGTCCAATTCTCTCTATACAAAATATTCAGAGATACGGTTATCTCCCAGATATTTTCCACGGCGCGGCTCCTCGCGTCCCAGAAGTTCGCTGACAGAGTCAGATTTCCATAATCATACTCGTCCACTTCTTTCTTGCTATCGTTGCTGTGGTCTCTATATATCTTCTGTTTATCTGGCAATAACCTGGGTCGCGAGGGTACTTCGACACCGCCCTCTATCGCCAGAAATATGAACGAGCCTAGAAATGTATACGCCAATAGAACAGAGAACACCACGCTGTTGGTCAAGGATCCGACGATGAATTGTTTCCGTCTGTACTTTGTCGTTTTGAAGCAGAAGCAACAAACTACTTTTTGTCGAGACGCTTGTGTTTTCTTTCTGCTATTAGATGTCGAGTCATCTTGGCACTTGTCCAGGGGCACAGTGCCGTTTGCGGGCTTCGCCAATGTATACTGTTCGAACCGGCTGATTGCTTCCTTGTCTAATACTACATGGTTGATGTCCATTTTGTTCATCCCCTCTTGTATTGCGGCATTGTTATCCTTTAGGATCTGAAACAAAGTTCCCCTATTAATATCGATGCCAGACCTTAACTCGGTGTAATTTTTCAAAGTCTGCTAGGGAGAGGAAAATGAGTGACAAATAAAAATATGAGCAAAAGTATGATTGATGGTCGCCCTAAGTATATCTTAAGATAAATTTTGCAAATGTGTCTTGTGAATTACTCTCATCACGGGCGAGGGGAAACTTTTCTTTTATTGCACAACAGGGGAATGGGGGATGTGTTACAACCGGATGGCCTTTTTTTACCTTTGTTTTTCCTTGTGTTAAGTGGTAACAAGAAACAAGAATTTATTAAAAAAAACACTTTAACGGTGTAAAAAGCCGTGGGCAATGCTGCAAAGCATCCGAAACGTCGGGCCGAGGTTCAAAAATTACTACTATATCGCGTTTTAAACCGTTAAAGTGTTTTATTTAAATGGGTACAACTCGCGTAAACTATAGACAGTATTTAAGAATTTATAAGCATTTTTCTAACTAGATTGATGAGCATTTTTTAAATTTATATATAGTAAAATGTCTAAATAAATTAAAAACTCTAAACTATAACAATATATGACAACAAAAAGATAAAAGAAAACAAAATGAAGAATCCAAGATAATTGAACACCAAGTCTGCATATAAAGCTGCTGCAAGCAAATACATTTTTATATTTATCGATAATATCAAAAGTGAAATATCGATAAAGAGTTTGATTGAAGGATCATAAAAGTATTCTCTCCTAAATTGAAATGAAACACAATTCCACTTGATGTACCTACGTCGAATGAATTATTCAACACGTTTGTGGTTTCAGTGCCTCGTGAGGAAAAACATTTTATTCGAAAACAAAGACTTCGATTATATTTTAATTAGATTAGAGTAGGCGACTTAGACCCGGCTTTGTAGCGTTGCCCGGTTTGTCAACAATGTCGTTTAATAACGTTATTTTAACAAAACACTGTTGTAAAGGGTTGTTTAGGTCTTCGTTGTTTGGTTCAAGACACCTGTCTTGAATAAAGTTTTAAGATTGAAGGTAAATATTTAGAAATGTTTATTTACGTGTTTCGTAAGTTAAATAGTCACAAACACGGTTTTGAATGTTCCACTTTGTAGCAAGTGTTTAAAAGTTTTTCACAGTTTTGTTGAATTTTTTATTAAGTTTTATTTCCTGAACATTAGGTACATGGTTTTCGACAAACGCGTTCCATAATTGATATAGAAAACTTTAATATTTTTCACGTCTTATTGTACATGATGGCGTGGTCAATTAAACAACGATTTGATAAAAAAAAAGTACGTAGAAAGTTACGCAGGACTTGAACCGGCATTCACAGCGTATAAGAGTATAGCACGGAACTCTGTGGATGCCGGTATTATTAAAAAAATAATAATAATCCAACTTCTTTCTTATTTTAGAAAGAAAGGAAAGTTAAAATTTATTTCTTAACTTCATAATGGCATCCGAAACACATTAATAGATTTTTATGATATTTGGCTAAATTCCAAGAGAAAATTTCGTTTATATTTGCTTTAGATGGAATTAGAGAAAGAGCAAACAAAATAGTGTTAAAGTTAGCAAAACACGAAGTTTTGGCCCATCTAGTCCACGTTGGGCCAATGTTTGTAATACGGATAATAGCCAAAGAGACGTGGGTTTGATTTCCATCGGGTCCAACGAATTTCAAAATCATTTTATATTCGAACCTAGGACCCACAGTCGAGTGAATTAACAGTATTACAATTTATTATGTGTTAAACCGCGCTCTGTGGCCAAATGGTTAAACATTTTGCCTAGCATTGCGTTTAGCGCGAGAGGTCCTTGGTTCGGAACCCAGGGAAACAAAAATTGTTTGGGTCAGGCAGAGTCAACTCCTTGCCTGTTAAAAGAACGGATCAAAAAAACGGACACAGAAATGTGTTCGCCCCATGCCCCACAAAAGGGGACAATATGGGCTTTCATAGTAGGTCGCTTTAAGAATTTGTCTCATTTTTAGTCTTTTTCTTTTTACGATAGAGGAGGCATGGCGTTCATTGGATGGTAGATGCAATTCCCATATATCATGTAAAGTCTAAACAAGATGCACTGTCGATGTATTTTGGCTTTGGATATTCGGAAATCCACAGACTGAAATCGAAACGCGATTAAACGCGGACGTTGACCCCGACGGAATTCCAAGACAAATAAAAGTAAATGAAAAAAAAAAAAATTCTCCGCTAATTTTAAGATCTAAAGGTTTGTCTGTCAATGTCAACAACACAGTTTTAGCAAACATTTTAAGAAAATGGAAAGAAAAATTACAAAAAATTCATTGTGTTGTCGCTGAAATTAAAGGACAAGGCATCTTACAATGAATATTTTAGCATAGTCCTTAAATGTTATTACTATTTTTATTTTGTTTACTTCTCTCACAATTAAAAGGACCGAAGGTGCTTTTGCGCCAACAATATATATACATACATATTTTTTTAGTTAGTCAGTCATTTAGAATAGAAGCCAAAAATGGGGTTGCTTGATGGAAAGTAATATACCCTAGCTATATAACATCACACAAGATACGTACGTTGTTGACCTATTATGATTATTCGGATATCCACAGACTGTGACGGTTGTTTGTGGCTCGGACGGAATTCTACCCGTGTAATATCCAGTAGAGGAAGTCAGTGTTTCAGAAATGTTTTGCATACATTAACAGCATGTCAGATCCAGTGGAGATCAAACCCGCGACACTTTGATTATTAACAATCAAGTTTATAGGATTATAGAAAATTTCCACCGTCCTCAGATGAGAAAACTGCGAAGGTTAATCGACTTTTATCACAAGACCGACTTAGATGCATAGAGCACATAAATCTAAGCGCCGCATCTTAGATGTTACATGGTGGAGACGTACCATAAAATACCGTCTATAGTTTACGCGAGTAGTACACATTTAAATAAAACACTCTAACGGTTTAAAACGTGATATATATTAGTTAAACGTATTTGAAAGTTATTTTTAACTTCGGCCCGACGTTTCCGATGCTTTGCAGCAGTCGTGGTCACGGGGAGACGTTAAAAATAATTATCAAATATGTTTAACTAATATATATCGCGTTTTAAACCGTTAAAGTGTTTTATTTAAACGTACCATAAATTTAAACCCATGCTTGTTTGTCTTTCTCTGTTACAAAAATGCCTGTTATAAATACATATTCAAATCGGAAAGAGCATTTTGTTTCAAGACACGTATCCATCCTCCAATTTCGCGAAGGTACATAGCTAGACGTGTGATGAATAACATATAGAGCGTTTTTTACAAACCACCTACACCTTTCATAAGCAAGGGCCGAGAAAATTGATATTTTGATAGATTGATTATTTACGCCCTCAAAGGGAAAGTGTTTTACCAGCCGCATCCCCAAAGTTAACAAGAACTGACGGTCGAAGTAATTGAACATTAGGATCCCTTTGTGCATTTTTCTGACTTTAGTACAGACCTGCTGTCTTACTGTATAAGACCATGCGTGATACCGTGACCACGGCAAAGGATAAGTGAGCTTTGTTAAAATAATTTTCAAATCAGTTTAACTAATACATATCGTTTTAAACCGTAAAGTATTTTATTTAAATAACAAACATTACAAGAATATGCTGATGCATGTCATATTCGCTTGACGAAACAATAAGATAGTTAAAAACAATTGGAAAAGTCGTCTATTCGTCATCACTAATTTTCGGTCTATCTACAAATGTAGCGAACTAGAGATTAACCCTGAAACGGATACTGTAATCCCGCATTCCCCGGCCAGTCTGTGTGTCAATTAAGCCCACTTCAACAATTAATTGTCCCGGGGCAATCAGGATCTTAGGTTCCATTGAATAAAGGACGTCATCCATTACCCGTGATCGGCATTCAGACGACTGCGATAATGATCCGTTTAAAAAGTGCGCATCAATCTTATCAGATCTACCGCTCCAAATGGATTTTATTTTTGCCGGCTATTTTAGGGTTAAGCGAAAAGCTATGGTTATATATATTTAATGATACAAGCAAGAACACTTGAGGGTAGGTGAAAAACAAGGGTATTCGTTAGATATTACGTTTTAAATTTCACAATTTCTAGGGTTCCGTCGCCAGTATTTTTTACATTACGACAATTTAGACCAAGACCACGAGAGTTTAAATGTTAGATAATTCTGTATATCTGCTTCATAATAATCTATACATATATAAACGAAAAGTTTGTTTGTTTGAAATCTACATTACTAAATATTGCATATATAATATAATAATTATCCTTGTCTGGTCTCCCATTGCAAAAAATATTCAAGAAGCCAAAAAATATGATGTTCGCAACACTATATATGTCTATCTTTTAAAATTAACTTGAAAGAACGACGGGACGCGGACGACGTTGTGGGTAACAGCTTATGTTTTTTAAGAAGAGGAGTTTGATAAATAAATTTTGATGCCCAAAATAACTATTCCACGAAGACGAAGTCACGGGCATAGCTAGTACTTATAGAAAGAGAGAAATTATTAGAAAAACAAAATTATGTTTAAAGAACTTATACATCGTTAAATCTCTAAAAATAATATTTATATCCTTTGTCATTTGTTTTTTAAACAAAAAAAAATAAAAATTTACCCATAATTAAATTCAAATAACTATTCAAGTGTAAAGAAAGTTCTGGAACAAACATAATATTTTCCTCTAGCGTCAGTTAAACGTTAGGAATAGGAAAAACAACGTAGGATGCGCTTGCTCTGACCGTATGTGAACTCATAACTCACAATAACTCACACGAACTAATGTTCTACGAATCGAGAATTTCTTCTTTTACAATTTACTTGTTATTTTTCACCACATTGTTGAAAACGCGGCGTCGATGCCAAAAAAGTTCGGATTCTTGTAAGGAACGAAAACGGTCCATTTTATTTTATGGCTTGTCCATAACAATAATGCAGTGACCGACTTATAGAGCACTGGAAGATGTATGGAGTAGTATTTTTTTTCAATACTTAAAAAAGGACATTATATTGTTACAATTGCTTTTACGCATATACATAATACACTTTCATCGGGTGTAAATGCGAAATATACCTATAAATATATCTATATATAAGTGAACTGAATTTACTAATTTAAATAAGGTTCAACGTTTCGGCGTCCCTCCATGACCACAGCTTCTGAAAAACATCTGAAACGGCGCCGTCGGGTCGTAGTTAATTTGAATTAAAAATAAGTAAACTAACGTTGCGTTTAGAATCGTCAAAAATGTTTCATTTACATGTGTACTACCCGCGTAAATGCTCTTAAGCAGACTGAAATTGTGTTTAACTTAACTTAGTTACCGTTAAACATAATAAAATCTTGCTGTATAAGTAAATCAAATTTGGTTGCAATATTTTTTATTCAATCAATTGAAAGGTTTAAAATATAAAATATCTTTTTGTTCCTTACTCTTAAAATGAGACTACACATTTGAGTTTTTTTTGAGTTTTGAGAAGAACTAACCCTACTTCGTTCACAGTCGGGTAAAGTGTGTTTTACAATCAAAATAAACAAAAACCACAAACGAAGTACCCTCATCAAATTCACACATTCGACTATATTCAGCTATATACCTCGTTATCGTCACCACAGTTTACGAACCTAAAGTGACAATTTGAGCTGTCAAAATTATACTACCTTAAGTGTGATGTTGAAACGGTTTGAGAAGTTGAAATATATTAGCATAAAAGACAGGAAAAGAATATTGTCATATTTTTTTTGATTTTAATGTATGTAATACCAACCGGGTCCCTTATTTCCAATCAATTAATAATTTTTCTAAAACATGTTGGACTTCGTTTGGAAATCAGGATAATGGATGGGTGGTATGTAAATTCCATCCATAAATTACCGTCAACAGATGAAAAAGCCGTGAAGTTTATCGCGTTTTGGTTTCAGTCTGTTGATTTCCGAATATCCAAAGCAAAAGTACATCCTGTAAATGTGTCTGGGGCTTTTCACCTCTGTCATAAAAAACAACAAATTAATCAATGTACTGTGGAACAACTGAATGTTTAACGACTGTGTCATCAGTAACACATGGCTTCGATAGCCAACCGCAACTAGTCCACACTTAAGGCCTATACAATACATAGAATTTATAGGCGTTGAAGCCTGTTATCGATCTATCATCACCTCTGAATTTCAGCTCTGATACGAGACTGAATATTTACAGGCAATTGCGGTTAACTCCATTCCAATATCTAGGCATTAAATGTTTAATAGTGTAGTTCGTAATTTTTATTTGGTACGGTTTGATAACGACAAATTGAGTATGATAAATTTAATTTTTAATATGACGGCAATATAAATTGAAAATCTTGAAAAAAATACGACTCGCGCAAGAGTTGAGCCGGTATGTCTGTTGCTCTAACCAGTCGATTCGGTAGCTCAATCTTAAAGGTCCTGTCCAAGTCGTAAAATTTAGTCAATTTATAATTGACAGATAAAGTATTTAAGTTGTATAATCCCACATCTATAGCTCAACGGTTAAACATCTTGCTTAGAATTGTGTTAAGAACGAGACGTTCGAATCTCGTGGAAACATTTCACTTGATGGTGGGTGAAATACCAATGAAATGTCGGGCTGTAGTGAAAATATTTTGTATTAAAATATATATCGCATTTTAAACCGTTAAAGTGTTCTATTGAAATACCAGCTGGGGTACTTCACCTTCAATTGTACCCAATATTTGTCTGCCTTCTTCTATCACCTATACTAATATACAAAACTGAAGAATTTGTTTGTTTGAACGCGCTAATCTCGGGAACTACGGGTTCGAATTGAATAAAAAGAAAAGTATTTGTGTGGGATAGAACGTGTATCGAGGGAGGCTATAGGCTATAAAACGCTCTGTGACTTATACAAGCTAGGACACGCGAGAAATGTAAAAAAAAAATTGATAATTGTTCATCGTTATAGGTTGCCGAGGCCTACGCTGCAAAAACGGTTCAAAATACTGAAAAAAATATGTATGAAAGAATGATTCCTCTTTTGAGAAAATTCCGCAAGGCTATATCTTTTAAGATAACTCGCAAAAACGACGGGAAGGGACCGACGGCGTAGGTAACAGCTTAAGATTGTAAAGAGGAAGAGGTTTGCAAAAACGAATTCAAAGCCAAAATAAGTCATCTACACGGACGAAGTCGCTGACACAGCTAGTGAAAAAATAATAATGTAGACGATTACTGAATTCAAATAAACAAACAAAAAAAATGAAGAACAAATATTTTTGACGACAGCTGGTTGTAGACAATTTTTCTCGTATAACAAAACTATGACGTCAAACACTATCTATAGTTTACGCGAGTTTACCATTTAAGTAACACATTTAGGTTTAAAACGCGATAATTATTTAAATATTGATGTAAACGTTCTTTGCAGCAGCCTAACACAGGACGAGAACTCGGGCTGAAGTTAAAACCATTTTTAAAAATTTTTTTCTTTTTTTTTTTTTTTTTTTCCCTTTAAATGTAAATACTAGTGTGTATATTTGTTTCTAAGTTAACGAAAGATATTTCTCGATACTAAATTACACCTCCGTTTCCGATGCTACCCAGAAGGGTAAATATTGTACGAAATGTGTGCTGGAGAGGGAAATAAAACGTGTTTTTTATCACTTCTCCTTCATAGCTTTTTTATTTTGGTCTTGCAAAGTTAATGAATCATGCTGAATACGAAGGTTTTATATAAAATAAAAACCAATAAAAGATATTTGTGTTAAATACTTTCTGTAGTTTACGCGAGTAGTTAAAGCATTTAAACAAAACATTTAACGGTTTAAAACAGGATATATATTGGTTAAACGTATTTGAAAATTATTGTAACTACGGCCCGACGTATCTTTCCGGCTTCAACTTTCACTCTCCCCGTGACCACGGCTGCTAGAAAGCATGTGAAACGTCGGGCCGTAGTTGAAATAAGTTTCAAGTAAATTTTGAAATAAGTGTAAGTAATATATAACGCGTTTTAAAGTGTTAGTGTTTTATTTATGTAAATATGTTTATATAAGTACTAAAACTCGAAGTAGACATAATTCTGTGTCCGTATCGCTCATCGAGCTTTCAAATAGAGTAAAAAATAAATATTCGACGCCTATGAGTCCGAAGCAAATTTTATCAAATTCTGTTCAGCCGAGTAAGTGGGAGCGAGGAACATACTTTTGTCCTTCAAAGGAACCTTCGCTATATATTATTAGTAGGAGTCTTATATACACTGAAGGTACCAAAAGATTTGATATTACATTTAAACAAGAAAGTTTTGTTGTCCGAGGTCAAGACCCACTTTGAGCCGCTGAGTGAAATATGAATTTTAAAAATAGCTTGAATTTTAAATTTTTCAAATAGAAATGCTGATTTCAAAAGTGCCTCGCCCGTTTTTAGTAAAACGTTTGTTATTATAATTAGTTGTATTTTTTTGGTTTAAAAAACAAATTAAATATGGATCAAACTTCTTGGTATTACAAAAATATGTATACGTAGTTATAATGATTTAATTTATAAATTTCCCACAGCTGGTCCTACACAGATCTGGGTCACGGTTAATAATACTAAAGTAGTTGTCCGACAACCCACACTGGAGCAGTGTCGGTGGGTCTAAGTAAACCGTCGAACGAGTGTATATCCAAAATGCGCTATTAGTGAAGTTTCAATATAAGAGATATCTTCTCTCGGAGTATGGTAATCGCATTTAGTAGTGTGCAAGATTTCATGTTTTCATTTGTATTAGGTAAGTGTAAATATTGTTTTATTGGTTTAGTCCTAATTTTATTTTATAGGCATTATATTTTTTTGAATAGTAGTTTATTTGAAAATGGTATGAGATACCGTCTTATAGTTATT